TGCTTGACAGCCTGGAACTCCCAGCGTGGGCATCCAGGCGGGAGCTGGGACGTGCTGCTTGGTGCCAGGCTGTGGTGGTGTGTGAAGGTGCACTGGAGTGTCCACTGTGTAGCTGAGCCAGAGAATTCACCCCCTCCCTGGTGTGTGTCAGGAGCTGGGAGCAGCACAGCCCTCCTCCTGTGGTCTGGCATTGCCAGGCTGCCCTGTGGCTGTCTGGGCAGAACGCAAATCAGGGGCTCCTGTTGGTGCATGACCAGGGCCCTGCCCTCAGAACTGGCAGTGGAGTGTTTGATTTCACAGTGCAGCACCCACTGCACAGTGGGTCAGAGCTGGCAGGTGAGTGTTCTCCCTGCTTGCTTGGACAAGGCCACTACCTGTGCTGTTTATTCCCAGGTGTTCAGATTAACCCTTTCTCTGTTTTGCCCACTTTCAGAATAGGGTTTTAAGCAGAACAGGGAACTTGAGGCTTCTCACTCGACGCTACAGCCAGTTTTCCACCATGAACTCTGCATTTCAACTAAGCCTAAGGTCCTGCTGGAAGAGGAAGGATTTCCTTTTTAACTGAGAGAAGGGATAGTTTTTCTTCCCTCAAGCATTGCATCTACTTAATGCACTTACCCAGGGCTGCTTGTTAATAATTAAAAAGAAAGGTTCTGCTGCAACTTATAATGGATAATTGTACCCTACAGAGTCGATAAAGATGAACGAGTTGCAATTACTACAGCATTTAAGGACAGCAATTGGAGCAGCATTCTGATTAAATGAGGGGATTGAAAATCGGATATGCCACCCAACAGCTGTGGAAGCAGCCTCTGCCTTATCAGAAACCATCTTATCTGACTTCACCATAGAAAATGTGCTGCTTAGGAGGAGGAAAAAGAAAGTAAAGCATGTACTCAGCTACTACTACCAGGGAACTGCTGTGCCAGATGCCTCTGTCTTGTTCTGGCATTATACTCCAGCTGATGCTGGTTTGGGCCTGGCTGGCTCAGAGAAATTTGCCTACTAGTTGTGTGAAACAGAACCAAAACACGTAGGATGGAGCTCCTGTGTGTACATTTGACTTGAACCTGGGCTGCTGTAAGTATATCTCTGTAAGTACATCTGCTGTAAGTATGCTGTAAGTGCTCTCCCCTCCCACACCTGCCCTGACTTCACTGGACAGAGCCAAAGGGACTGTTTGGGCATTACCTTGTGGTGAAGGAGGTAGAGCCTGCAGGTCACCCCCCCAAACCTGCTGAAGCAGCCCCTGGTGCCTGTTCTGGGCAGACCCAGCCTCTCTGAAGTTAAATTCACAGCTGAGGGAGGCTGCCTGAACCCTGTGTTACTGGGGGGTGTCACTGAAGGCTGCTGGTGAACAGGTGACTGTAACAGCCTGGGTGCAAATCAGGATTCAGACTTGGGGACTAGCAAGGATTTGTTTAAGTCCATAATTCTGCAGCTACTTGAGATGGGGGGAAAATCTCAGCATTTGGAAAAATCACCTCTTCCCCTGACATCATGATTTAATCTATTTAAAAGCATAGTGCTTGGAAAAAGTCCTATAATCTTCTGGAATACACACAGCACATGGCTGACGTGATGCCATACAATATTTCTTCTATGCAGCTGTTACAGGCCCTGGCTTAGGGGGTGGAAGGAGATTTAAATGTCCTGCCAGCTGGCTGAGACACCCACCGACCTCTGCAGCAGAGAGGAGCCCCTGCAGGAAGGATGGGTTTCCTCCCACAACGTGAGCAGAGACGAGCCCAGCACAGCCTGTGCCCTCCTGTCAGTGTCGTTCCTATGTGTGGTCCTCCTCACTCTGGGACCCAACCCCAAGTAACTGCTCAGCCCATTTGGTGCAGCAACACCCTTCCGTGGAGCACAGCCTGTGGAATGCCCGTGCCAGCACCTGGGAGGGAGAGCACGTCCCTGGGAGAGCAGGGTAAAACCTCGGGGCTGGGCAGTGGCTTAACCTTTGTGTCAGGGAAGGGTGGTAACTGAGGTGTGATGGGCTCCTCAGCACTGGTCACAGCACACCCAGGGCTGGCCTTCATCCCTGTTTTTTTTGTAGTAAAGGCAGCCAGCAACTGAAGTTAAAGACCCAATGGTTGCTGAAGGAGTGTTTAAAACAAAAGATGGAGTAGCTCAGTCTGAGCACTAATGCTCTCAGACCAGCCAACCCATCCTCTCACACCCAGTCCCACTTGAGTTTCAGAGCACCCTCAAAGAGCCCAGACCCTGCTGTGATTACCCCACTGCTCCTACTGTCCTGGGCTGAAAGGCACACCCACCTCCCAAACCCCCCAGCACTGTCATACCCCACATCTTCCTACATCACCGTGTGTCTCAGGCCTGCCCCATATTGTGGATCTTCTCCCCAGAACTGCAGCCCATCCCAGTTTAAGGGACAAGTCTTTGATGCTCTAAGACACAGATGTAGTGTTATTTTGCTGTAATGGTCAAGTCTTTTTCAGGCCTGTTTCTCTTGGACCAGCCTGGATACAAGTGTGAAGGGATGGGAAGGAGGACACAACTACAGGACAGGTCCTTTGGCCTTGGCACAGTCTGTTCAAACAAGGCTGTGGCTCCCTTGCATGCCAGGGACCAGGGAGGCTCAGGTCATCACGTCAGAGGGATGCTGCTGCTTCTCTCCCAGGTGTTTTTTCCTTAACTCTGACTTCTCCTTTTAATTTGTTGGTAGGAGGGAAATCTGTTTGGTCCATGCACACATGCTCACACCCATCAGCTCCTCTCTGGGAACAGAGATCCCATCATTAAAACTCTTACCCAACCCAACACAGGATGACGTTTACCTTCTAAATAACCCTATTTACTGATTTCACAAGGGAAGTGGGAGATGGGGGATTTCAGGCTGTTCCCTTGCCAGGAAGCGGTTGCAGCTTTTTTTTTTTTTCCTTTCAATTCCTCACATTCACACACCATAACACACACAGACACACACGAGGCCACGCCACAGCAGCTCGAGCTACAGCTCCCTGCCACCACAAAGCCAGGCAGGCGCTGCTGTGGCACCACGACATGCTCTGCCTCAGGCTGCAGGACACCTCTAGGACACCTCCAATGCACAGGAGACTCCCACAAAAGGCTCTAAATCACTCTAGGACTCGGCCATGAGGGGCATTTAATAGCACTTGGTTTCAGATAACACTTAATCTTACAATTGTTGACATTTGACACTGTCTTCGGTACAACAGCATCGGGGACTTGGTCACAAGGTTTAAGTCCTTGTTCCTGTAACCTTGTAAAGCCGGGGCAGTCCAGCTCCCCTGCACCTCCCTGTGCCACCAGTGCAGCCAGCCTGGAGGGCGGCTGGGAGTGCTGGAGTTGCTCTTCTGCCCCCACAGCTTTCCCAGGTCCCTGCTGCTCCTGGCAGAGCAGCCAACTCACCTCTCCCTGACCTGTGCCTGCACCCCCATGGACAACACCCTCCGTGGCCTCCGAGCTGCACTCGGGCCCTTACAGACAGAATTAACATTTTCTGGGGTACAGAAGATGCATCAAGTGAAATGCAAACCTTCTCCTGATCACACTAACTCATTGGATTTACTTTTAATATAATCACAGTATTGAATGTTAAAATAACAAAACAAAACTCAACAAACCAACCCACACTTGTTGATATCAACACATTATTAAATTAAGCAACTGCTCACACATGACCATGTCCCTACTGTGACACTGCAGGGTTAAAAAATAAAAAAATAAAAGCATTTTACACTGAGTTTATGCTCCCTGCTAAATAGGTTTTGACACCAATCATACCTGAGAGCAGTTTTAGAAGGGCCTTTGGCAGCCATCGGCAAGTGAGTTGCTGGGTCACAGAGAGTGGTGCAAGACAGACTCTGGTTCTCCCAGGATTTTGTTCACTTGCTTACCACCAAAACAAACAAAAAAACCCCTGCAAATTTAAAGAAACTTTAGTGTTTTTAATCCCACACAATTTTTCTGTAAGCTTCCTAAAATCTACAGCCATCGTTTTAAAAAATAAAAATATCCCCAAACCTAACAGTGTGGATTTTAACTCCAATTTGGACTCGTTACCACATCCTTATGTTGCTGAGCACTCAAGAGGTGCAGAGGTCCTGGCCTCTCCCAACAACCACCTCCTACCACAGACAGCAAAGGTGATGGACCCACCCCATCTCAGATCTCCAACTTTGATCTCCAGCGGTTCCTACAGTCACAGGTCACCTGCAGTAACGTAACACGTTCTCAGTCAGCCAGACATGTTTCTCTCTTTCCTTGTAGGCCTTAACAAGCTTACAAGAGTCAAACAAGCTTTAACTCCAGCAAAAAAAAAAAAAAAAAAAAAAAAAAAAAAATTGCCATTTTTCAATTAAGGATTTCAGGTAGTGCAACGTGATGGACTATGCAAATGGCAGCTCCAGCTCACCAAATACCTTTGTGCCCTTTGCTTGTCCACATCTACAATGGGCCCAAGAGGGTTCCCCCTTAAATCACTTTTTTTTTCTCCTGCTTCGCTTTTTTTCCTTTTATAAAAACTGGGAATGTCAAACCTCTTTTGTTTTATCCAAGAGCTTCTATGGCTGAGATGTGTCAGCGCTCTCAAAGCTCACCAACTTGAGTATACGGGGTTGACTCCTTAGCAGCAAACTTTTTGCCAATTAATTATCAACTGTAATTTTTTGTTGTGTATAAAAACCAGTTCTACTCTTGATCAGGATTTGCTTCCTTGGTAGCTGGCTTCCTGGGAAGCTTCTATCCTCAAACAGAGACTCAACAGGAATGCATCCAGACTCAAATTTATGAAATAAAAAGCAAACAGGACAGAAAAAAATAAGAGAACCAACCTCTGAGTCTCTCATGCAGCACAAAGAACCCCCTTCCCCTCCCACCTTGAAGGACACATATAGAGATGAAGGAGGTGCAGAAGGCTGGAGTCTGAGAAACTGAACCAAGCTGGGGCCTCACGTGGATGCTCCTGCACAGGGAACTGGCCCTTCCTGAGCTGTAAGAACTCTGATACCGCACAATTTTAGAAATCCATCAGTGAACAAGGCTTTACTGACAACTTTTCATACAGTTAAAAAATAAAAATACAGAACAACAGCGGACAGTGTCACATATTAAAAACGAATAAAATGGGCTCTATTTAAAATTTTAATAGATATTATAGGTATTAAAATTAATTAGAAACTAAAAATCTTACCACTTTGGCCGAGGTGTTTTGAGCCTCTGCCAAAATGATCAGCCTTAAAAACAACTGGGTTGTGTGACACACAAAGAAAACATGAAATTTGAAAAGACAGTGTGGGCTAGGCAGTGTCTTTGACTATAACTATCACCATATGTTCTTCTTCTAACTTCCCCAATGTCCTTAGTGCTGACTGGAGGTACTGCTGAGAGAACTCGCAAGGAGGGAACGCGTAAAGCATGCCTGTGCTGTCCCTGCCCTTCGCCCCTCCCACGGGCAGGCTGATAACCCCAGCAGCCTGCTTCTGTTTCAAGTAGGAGACCAGATTCCTGAGAAGCCGTCGCTGCAAGCCAGGCTCCACAGCAGGGAAGGTCCCCTCGGCCCCTGCCCCTGCCGGGGCAGACTGGGTGGCCAGGAGCACGGCGTAGCCGTTGGGGCTGCCTTGTTTGATGCGGCGGGTGACTTCGTCCAGCTTGGGCTGGTCCAGCCGGAGTCTCTGCGCGATTTTGAGCTGCGTCAACTTCCCGCCGGACGAATGGTCTTTGAGGAGTCCGTTGATGACACCCAGGTCTCCCTCCAGGATGTGCATAGAGGTGGGGAAGCAGCTGTTTTTTAGCACAAGAAGCCCATTCCAAGCAAGCTGCAGTGTCTGAGCATATTCTGATAAATTCTTTAGCTTTTTGGTCTCGGATTTTGGCTCCTCGTGAGTTTTTGATTCCGATTCACCAGTTCGATGATTGCGTTCGCTGTCCCTTTTTTTGGGCTGGGGAGCATCGGATGGCTCGCGATGGGGCTTCTCCTCAGCTGTGTGGCGATTGTTCTGGAGGGAGTTGCTCTGCTCTTTCTCGGCCCCGGGTTCTGTAGTGTGATTCTCCTTGCGAGCCCTGTCAGGGCTGCGGTCTAGAGCTGGCCCACTGGCCTTTGTCCTGCTTCTGTCCTCGTAAGGCGAGTGAGTAGTCCTCCCGCGGTCGCTGGAGAGGCTCCGGCGTTTCCGCCTCTCTTCCCAGGGTTTGGGCACGCTGCGGTCGCCGTCGCCGCCCCAGCGCTCCCCGCTCCTGCTGCGCACGGACCGGCTGTAGCTCTCCAGGTTGTTCCTGCGCTCGGCATTTTTGGCAGGGCTGGCCCAGTCTGCCTCCACAAAGCTCCTGTCTCTGTCCGAGTACAGGAGGTGCGGAGGAGTCCTATCCCGCACCCTCAAGTCTTGCTCCAGGCTCCGGTGCCGGCTGTACCCATCGGCCAGCAGCTCGTAGTGCACGGGCAGCGGCGCGGGTTGGTACTGCTGCGGGTATCTTGTCTCTTCTGCTTTGGCAAAATCCACTCGGAGCCTCCTCTCTGGGCCACCCAGGGGGAAGCCCCTCATCTGCGCGCAGGCGGCCTGGGCGGCGTCCAGGCTCTCGTACTGGATGTAGGCGAAGCTGTCGCCCTTCACGTAGTCAATAGTCCTGATGCTGCCGAAGCGGTCGAACTCCCTGGCCAGGGCGGCCAGGGAGGTGCTGGGGCCCAGGCCCCCCACCCACAGCCGGGTGGTGGGGTTGGCTTTCCCATAGCCGATTTTGATGGGGTTCCTGCCAACAACGCGGCCTGACATGGCTACCTTGGCCCGGTGAGCCATGTCCAGGTTCTGGAACTTGAGGAAGGCGTAGGCGCCGCCCTGGCCACGCGCAGGGCGCTTGATCACCACCTCCTCGATGATGCCGTACTTCTCGAAGGCGCGGCGCAGCTCCACCTCCGACACGTTGTGGTCCAGGTTGCCGATGAAGAGGTTGCGGGTGGCCCTCTGGTCATCCTCGGGCATCAGGTCCTCCTCGGCCACGATGGGGTAGCTGTAGGGGCGGCCGCGCTCGTCGTACAGCCCGTAGTAATCCAGGGCGCGCTCCCGCTCCCGGGACAGCCCGATGGCCGCTGCCTCCAGCGCGAAGGCAGCGGCGGCGGCGTGAGCGTGGCGGGGCCGCGGCTCCCGCAGCAAGGGGCTGGTGACCGGCGACAGCGAGCGCTGCTTGTACTGGTATGCGCTGTGCAGGGGCGGCAGGTAGCCCAGCGGCTCCGGGGAGGGCGCGGGGGGCGGCGTGCGGCTGCGGCGGCCCCCGCGCAGGTACACGGGCTCCACCTTGAGCGGCCGGTCGTAGAGCAGCAGCTGCCGGGCGCGGGCGTGCCGCCGGGCGTCGCGGGCATCCCCGGGGTGTCGGAAGTTGACGTAGGCGACGCGGCCGAGCTCGGGCGTGTGCGAGAGCTTGACACTGATGTCCCCGGCGCCCCCGCCCGCGAAGCGCTGGAAGAGGCGGAACAGCCCGTCCTCCAGCAGCTGGTCGGGCAGGGCCGCGCTCAGCCCGCTCACCAGCAGCGTCTTGTACTCGCAGGAGCCGGGCGGCTCCCCGGCCAGCCCGGCCGAGCCCCCGAGCGGCGCCAGCAGCAGCGAGGGCGCGGCGCCCGGCGGCGGCCCGGCCAGCAGCAGCGACGGGGCCACCACGGCGCCCGGCAGCGCCTTGGCCTTGGGCACGCCGAGCGCCCGGGACGAGGAGGAGGAGGAGGAGGAGGAGGAGGGGGCGGCCTGGCTGCCGCCGCGGGCGCCTGAGGCCGAGCCGCTGCCCGCCGGGCGGTGGTTCGAGTCGCCGCCGCCGCCGGCGCGCTCATCGCCGCGGTGGCTGCGGGAGCTGGAGCCGCCTCCGCCGCCGCCGCTGCTGCTGCTGCTGGTGGTGGTGCCGCCGCCTCCGCCGCCGCCGGGCGTGGACTTGTCCCGGCTGCTGCGGGAGGCGCCCGAGCTGCGGTGCGGGCCGCGCCGGCTGCTGCTCTCGCGGTCGCGGTCGCGGGGCCGCTTGGCGGCGGCGGCGGCGCGCCCGCCCGCGGCCCCCGGCGGGCTCGAGTCGCGGTCGCTGCCGCGCTTCATCGCGCCGGGCCCGCGGCTCAGGAGGCGCCTCCGGCGGCCGCCGCCATCTTGGACAAAAGGGAGCGAAGGCGGCTCCGGCCGCCGCGCCGCGCGGGCCCTACGTCATCGCTCCGCGCGCGCCGCAGCCCGGCGTCACGGGACCGTGACGTCACGCGTCGCTTCCCGCCGCCTGCGCGCGACGGGTGGGGCGGCCAATCAGGGCAGGGCGGCGAGACCCCGCCCCCCGCGAGGGCTGAGGGGGCGCGCGGGGCCGGACCCGCTGGAACAGCGGGAGAGAGGAGGGGGGGAAGGGGGAATGTCGGGATTAGGCGGGGCGGGAGGGGATGGGGGTGCGCGGGTGTATCCGGAAATCACGTCACACGGCACGGCTCCGCCCGGTGCACACCGGCGAACTTTAATGAACGTCCCGTACAAAGCGCGGGGCCGGGGTCGCCCCTCAGAGACCCCTTGGAGCACCGGTCTCGACCCCAGAATCGCCCCTCAAAGCCCGGGGATCGCCCCTCAGAGCCCCAGGGTCACCCCAGGATCGCCCCTCGGTGCCCTGCGATCGCCCCTCCAAGACGCCTCAGAGCCCGTGGTCACCTCGGGGTCGCCCCTCAGAGCCCCGGGGTCGCCCCTCACAGGTCCGCCCGGGCGCCGGCTGCCCTCGGCGCGTACTTGGGCATCAGTTCGTGGATCCTGCGGATGAAATCAGACTTCTCTGCGCAGCCCTTGCACACCTCACCCCAGTCGTCCAGGATCCGCCGCAGCTCCTTGACGCGCAGCTTGCGCAGGTCAGCCGTGCTCAGGTCGATCTGCTTGTCTGCGGGGAGAGCAGAGCCGCACTCAGACACACGGAGAGGGCAGGGAAGTCACAGCCCGAGATAGGGAGAGGTGCCGGGAGTGGGAGGAACGCCTAAGTTAGGCTTTGGATAGTGGTAAGGCTCTTAATGCTTTAAGTCGTTATTAGAAGCCAGAATGCTTGGCTGCAGCTTCGATGTAGGTCTTCCACAATAGCCCTGAATGCCCCTTTATTATATCAGCAGCGACACTTCTCTCTTCCACTGGATGAATGAAAGGTAGCAGGGTGATTTTAGAGGAAAGATAAGCAAGTGGCAACAACAAAAAAGCTTTTTAGGAAGCAACAGGACATAATAGAATTGAGAGGTATAAAGACCCACAATCCAAGGGGTGTCTCCAGGGCATGTAAGGGCAGAGATACAGGAAAGCAGCAGGAGGTTATTTCCATGCCTGCTCTTCATATTAGTCTTTTCAGGAAGAGGAGTAATCTAGGAACATGAGAGTTCAAGGAAGGTGGTGAGAAATAGAGTGTGGAATGCTGTGAGCAGACACCAGAGGAGGTGAGAAAGCAGCATTCCCTGCTTCTGGAAACAGGAGAGCAGCTGCAACTGCAGAGCTCAGCCAAGGGCTCGAGTCCCAGCCACAGTGACACCCCTGCCTGCTCCCTAGGACAGACTGTACCACACACCCTCCCAAGCAGGATATTCCCAACAGCAGTGTGAGCACCAGAGAGCTGATACACCTGGGAGTTAGTTATTTCAGGGCAGATCAGAGTCCCCTGCAGAAGCTAAGAAGGGTTAGCGGCCAACAATTGTACCTGAGCACCTCCATAAAACTCTCTAGGATATTCATGGAGAGCAACCCAGGTTGCACAACCTATCTAGGCTACAGAATTTTGGGCTGAGTAGTTTTAGCATGCTGCTTTTACCCCAGAGATCCACACCCCAGAAAAGCATGAGCATTCCCCCTTGTGCTGGCAACTTACCGTATTTTAGTTCACAGATCTGACTGTCTTTCTTCTTTAGCTTCTCACAGATCTTTTCCACGGGGATGTGATGACTCATGGGCTTTGACACCTCATTAATGATTTTGGTGGCTGCATCACTTGTAGCCCCAATGTAATAGCACTAGAGGGAAGACAAGAGTGATGGGATTGTATGGAAAAAGGCTTTTAACAGGAGAGTTTGCTATCCCTTCCCTCACTTGTTTTGGCAGCTGGATGTTTGCTGTTACAGAACCTCTCCAAGTGACCACTACAGATGGAAAAAGGAGCCCAACTCTGAACCCAGGGTACTGAGCAGGTGTGTTCCATTTCACTGCTTTTACAGCTGCCCAGACTGGTTCTCTTGTTTCTCAGCCTTATGAAAACTGAACTGGATTAAGAATAAAGTCTTCCTTCAAAGAGAAAAGTCTCCCTGAAGTGTTCCCACTCTCAAGTCTGACGGTGCCTCTAGTTCAGGGCCTTTTCCTTGGGGCTCTTCATTCACAGATTGCCTTCGGTTTGTAGTTAGGGCAAGTTGGTTTTCCTTAATTTAGTTTGCAGCTAAACAGCCAGAGAGTATAAATATTTTAACAGCTTATATATAGCACCTCAAATACCGTCTAAGGGACAGGGAAGCCCTACAGCAAATAAAAGCTTTGTAATCCCCAGTGCTTCAGTAACAGGGAGACACAAGGCCAGCCAGTCCCATGTCTGTAGACAGGTTGGGGTTTTTTTCTTTTTTTTTTTTAAGGTGAAGAGGTCAAACTCCTCAAGTCCTCTCTTATAAAAAATACAGGACCAATTGTAGCCACAGAAGCAGGACAAACAGCCCCTGGGAAGCTATATCATAAACTCAGAGGCATTGGTTTCCCCTTGTTTGCCAAGTATCCTACAACTTATTCCCTCAGGAGGCAAGTACCATCGACTACCACTACTTACCAGGCGGTTCTCTTTGCCTTTTGCTTCTTTGCAGGATTTCAAGAGCTCCTTTTCAATACTGGAAGGTGTGAATTCGATGTCATTGTCCTTTAAACTCTGGTAGAACCTTCCCAGGAACGTGACACACACTGGAAGGGAAGGTGGATGGAGTTATTGGCCAGTGAAGTAATCTTGTGGCAGCTCCTAGAGGACATTTGTAAGGAAATGGAATAAGGGATCTGGAGAACAGAACTTTTAGAAGCTGCATTATAAGCCAGTGACGTCACCCATGTTTCAGAACATCTTTTAGAGCACATGTGAATCAATAACAGACCCTGATACTTTTGGTGGGTTTGTGGCAACCTGAGAAACCAGATCCATGCAAGTGTCTTCAAACCCAGTGCTGGCAGAAAACCAACTGTGTACATAATCCTGCAGACTCCCCATGTGCTGATTTCAGTATCACTGATTACCCAGCTGCTTCACTTGAAACTGTTTCCAAGAGAAAAAGGAATTATTTGATCCCGGCTGTGTCCTCCTGGCACGTATCTCCTCTCTTCATTTCCACAAGCTTCTGACGCGTTTCCAGACGGAAGGAGGGAACAGTCTTAGACATAGTGCAACTTCCACAAGTGCAGCAGCATCTGAGAGGACGGATCCATGTTCCTGCCTGCGGGAAGGGCTGTACAGCTCAGTCACTCCTTCCCCTGGCAGCAGTCGCTCCGCACACATTCCAAAGCACAGCGGCCCTGTGTGGCTGGGAAGGAAGGCAGACAGCCCGTGGGATCTGTGCCGTGGGGTGACTGAGGGACACCCTGGGGGTCAGATTCTGGTCATCCTGCTGCTCACAACTTGCCAGTGGACATCAGCATCACCTGGATTGAGAGCTCTGCAGCCCCACCAATTCCTGCAGCAGCACCTGGGGATTCTCACCCCTTCCCCGTGTGAGACAAGTGCCAGGCATAGACCTGCCTCCAAGGAACAGGTACGAGTTATGTCTTTTATGGGATTTGTTTACCACAACAGGAAGAGTCTGGCAAATGTTACTGTCATTAGCAACTTGCATTCAACTCTGAACACACGGCATGGCATGGGAATTGGGCAGTACAGGAAATGGAGTATGGCCACCATGGAACCGAGTAGAAACTTACTGTCATTAATTATAAGCCATTTAGGAAAACATTTTTTGTATACATACACACCCTCGTTTACCTCACACCAGTCTGTCCCTAGGCACAGACATGCACTGATGTCCACTCTGTGCTGCTGGGAAGTGAAAACCTCGGGAAGAACAAAGCTGCTGCAGGCAGTGGCACCAGTGGCCACAGTACAGAAGAAACAAGTTTCCAACCTAGTGCTGGGACAGCAGATGGAAGTTTTGATTTACCGAGTTCCCTCCCCTCCTGTCTTATTGTTGCTCTCCCTATAAAGAGGAGGAGAGGTGCTAGTACCCCAAACTCCCAACCAGCTACTATGGCCCCAATTCGAGTTCTTCTTGCTCCACCTGGGAAATGTTCAGTTCGCGCAAGAGCAGTTTAATTTGCTGTGCAGCTCAACAGGGTTCATCCCCGAGGCGTTTGTACTCCCATGGTACACGGAGGGCCCGGTTTGATTTAGATTAGCTGCTCCCGGCTGCGCGCACCGAGGATACTCGGAGCACTCCAGCAGGCGCTGGGTGAACTAACAGTGTGATGAGTAAGAGGGAGTCGCGGTGACTAACCGCTCTGGCGTTCTCCTGCTCCCTGCCCCGGTCACCTCAGCCGGCCGGCAGCGCTGCCCGCGGGTGGCGAGCTGCGACAGTGCCGATCACCCAGCCCGGAGATCCCCGGGGTCGGGCTCCCTTTCCCTGGGGACTCTGCGCTACCGCTGACCCCGCTGAGAGGGTCCGGCAACTTGTCGGCAGAGCGCAGCGCCCCCGGGAGGGAGGTCCCGTCCGGCGAGGGGCCCGGCCGGCAGCCCCGCCCCGCCTCCCCCGCGGGCCGCCCCGGCACCGGGCACCCCGAGCATCGCCCGGCCCAGCCCGGCCGCACTTGCCCGGACTTTCGAGACTTTTCCTGCCACGGGAGGCACCGCTCCGCCGGCCCGGCCCGGTCCCAGCGGGAGGGCTGTCGCTCGGGGCTGTCACAGCCCCGAGGCTGCTCCGCGTCCCGGCCTCTCGCGTCGGGCGGGCGGGCCGGGCAGCGGAAGGCGGCGGCGAGGAGCGGCCTGTCCCCCGCCGTGCCCGCGGGCCGGGCCCGTCCGCACTCACCCTCGCAGTCCCCGTCGCGCAGCGCCCGGCCGCCGGCCGGTAGCAGGAGCAGGGCCAGCGCCGCGCAGAGCCCGTGGGCCGCCCGCATCCCGCCTCGCCCGGCAGCGCCCGCCGCCCCGGCACCCCAGGCACCGCCGCCGCGCGTCGCCCGTCCCCGCCGCCGCCGCCCCATTGGCCCGCTCTCCGCGCGGCCGCCACGCTCCGCGCTCCCATTGGCCGCACCGCCGCCTCCACGGGAGAGTTGGCGGCCGCTGATTGGGCGTGGGCGGCGGGACCCGCCTCCCCTCGCCGACATGTTTGTTAAGGGAAAAAGCGTCGGCACGCGCTGCCTGAGGGCGGCCTGCGGGAGCCATCTTGGAAAGGGGCAGGTCCTCACACCTGCGGGAGGGCGGGGCCGGCCCGGTCTGAGGCACCGCCCGCCGGGGCCGCCTCACAGGCCCGGACGGGGCGGCACCGCGGGGAGAGGGGCTGTGCGAGGCTTCGAGGCACCTCAGGGTGAGTGGGGTCGTGTCTGCATCTGTCTGGGGAGGGAGGGAGTTTGGCGGGGCAGAGGAGCTGCGGGGTGGGTGGCTCTTGGGGACTCTTGGTTGGGAACTACAGAGTTAGGACAAGGAGTGATGGGTACAAACTGAAAGAGGGAAAGTTTAGGTGAGATAGTAGGAAGAAATTCTTCCCTGTGAGGGTGGCGAGGCCCTGACACAAACTGCCCGTTCTCCGTGGGAGCATTCAAGGCCAGGTTGGATGGGGTGTGGAGCAACCTGGTCTAGTGGAAGGTGTCCCTTGCCCATGGCAGGGAGTTGTATTAACTACATGGTCTTTAAGGTCCATTCCAGCCCCTTAACATTCTATGATTCTATGACTATGTGTCCTGTGAGGGGATGGGATGGACAGAGATGGGCTCAGTGGCTTTGGGCACACCCTGTGAGGTCCAAGGACTGGGTGCTTTGAGGTGGGACAGCTGAGAGCTCAGAGGTTAAAACAACAACCAGCATGCAGCTTGTGTCTGGCTTCTTGGGTGGGTGTTTTTGCAGAGTCAAGTAAAAAGAAAATATTACTGTTATTTTTTTAAAAATTCCAACTTAATATCCCAGTCACTGGACCAATCACCTTTTGTTCAGGCACATTGTGTGATTCTTGGGATTGTCCTGTGTAGGACCAGGAGTTGATTTTGCTGATCCTTGTGGGTCCCTTCCAACTGAAAATCTTTTGTGATTGCCATTCTGTTCCCAAAGCCTTCACAGGACGTGCTGGGAACTACCTTGAACAATCCTCAACCCTGTGAGCTTATAACTGAAATGCCCCAAAGTTGGGGGGAAGAGCACATGCATCTGTTAATAGTTCCCTGGGGGCTGTGTGTGTCTGGGATATCATTCCACTGAAGGAAGGGAGAGGCAAAATCATACAGTCCTGTGCTACAGCAAGGGACCCCACATGGAGCTCGGTGGGCTCTCTTGGCCCAGAAAGGCTCCTGAGGCAGCCTGGTTGTCCCTGCCCCAAGCAAAGCCATGGTGGGAGCTGTGGGGAAATTTTCAGTGTCTAATCAGACACTTGCAGGTCATCAGCTGCAAATGATAAGCCTGATGAGGTGAGACGAGGAGGAGCACGTGATTCAGCAACGGTCACAGCAGGTGATGCTAATTAGGACGCTGTGTCTTGCCAGAGTGAATACAGCACAGGTGTTTGTCAAGAACGGTGGTTTTGCACCTTTCTAGATGTTGTAATCTCTCTAAATTTGTTTATTAAGGTCAGTAATAATGTTACTGACTTGTTCTGTTTATTTTTAATTCAGTCCATAATGATTCCCAGAATTACTCAATATCAGTGCACTTTAGGAAGAATACTGGCTTTTCTAAACCTCATGGTGATTGCTTAGCTGTGCAGAGAAGTGGTGGCTTAAAATGCCTTTATTTCTTATCAGGATAGTGGACAAAAGAGCCCTGAGATGTAGTGCTTATTAATTAATTGGAAGTAGGGCTTAAAAGTGGCATTAAGAGAATTTGGGAGCTTCACAATAAGGAGGAAGTTTAACTACCAAAGTAGTGCAATTATGAAACATCTTCAAACAAAGTAGGAGCTTTATGCATTTTTATAGATCAGACTGTGTGACAGGATAGGAGCAATTTTATTTGGTTTTGGATTGGGAAATGAGCTTCTCTCTCTATTTCAATATGGGATCCTCAGTTGGGTCTGAAAAAAACCCATTTTTTTTCCTTTTTATTTATGGTTTACTTTCCAATGTTCCAGCAGCTAGGAAGGATTGCCTTCATTTTACCTTCTGCTTCTTTTTGATCCATGGTGAGGTTTCTGGGGCTCTGTTCCTTCCATCACCCTCCAGCCACTGTCTCTCTGGAGCATTAGGGATTTGTTCTGTCTGAAACCTGAGTGATGGAGAGCTGGTGCTGTTGGGACATTCAGACTGCTACCAGTTCAAGTTGGAGGGGTATTGAAAAATTAAAACCCTATTTTTTTACTTTTCTTTTTCTTAAATGTGGTCTTTAATTTCCTCATGTGTAAGCAGTAAGTGGTAGTAGAACACTGGCTGAGCCTCAGATACATTTTTGCAGTGTCATGTGCTCCTGATTCTTGGAGTTGCATCTAGATTCGTGGTTCCTAGTGCTGTCCTTTAAAAAAGGATTGGGTTAAGGATTTAATTCTGGATGGAAAAGTTGGCTGGTGTTACTGTTTAAAGCTTCTTAGTTGTTAAGGAAGCTTTAGCTTCTTTCTACTGTCACATTTTAATGTTTGAGCTAAACCTACAGCTGCAGGAGGATACTCATCAGTTCATTCCCTCTTCAGAATAAAGAGGAGTCTGACAAGAACAAAGGGATGAGTTCTTGTGTGTGAGAACAAGATAGACAAAATATCTGTGGAGTTTTACATCGATATTAGGAAGATGCAGAGGGTGCAGGAGCCAGTGCTCAGGGTTCCCACTCCTGTCCCACACTGTGCAGTTAGTGATGGAACACAGTGTTAGTTCTCTCCTGGGGAGGTCCCAGTGCTGTGTCCATTCCATTGCTGTACCTGCAGGACGCTGGGAGGGACAGAGGGGGTTGTGTTTGTTCCCTGTGCTTGTGAAGTGTCTGGCTCTGGGTTTGGTCAGAGCATGAACTAAATGCAAAGAGCGCTGAAAAAGTGAGGTGCTGGGAATTAGGAGAGTTACTGTGCTGGGGAATGATCCCAGACTTAGAGTTGGAGCTTGGGGGTGAGTGAGGAGTAAACCCCTAGTGACTTCTGGTCAGTGTTTTGGAAGCATGTTCGGAGTGAGCCGGAACGTTGCTGGGCTTGGTGGCTCTGTGGGGATCGGAGTTGTTGGGAGGTTTGTTAGGTGAGTGGAGGAAGCTGCATGTTCATGGTGAGGCTGCAGTGTGGGCTGGACCTGTGCTGGCTCTGCAGTCCGAGAACACAAATCTGTTGGATGAAGGGGTTCAGCCTCAGGTGTTGGTCTGTGGGGATAAAGAAGTAGGTCCTGTCAGGGTGCAGGGGAAACCAGGTTAGTTTGGGAAAAGGGAATGCAGTACTGCTGTGAGTGAATGCTGAATAGAAGTTCAAGTGTAATAGATCTGCTATTCCAAATTCAATGTATGTGGGATTGACAGTAAAGCCTGTGAAAAGCAAGCAGTGGTATGTGAACCTTCTCCTAACAGTCAAGACAGACGAGCTCAGACCTCTTCCTCCTAAATGCTGTGCCTCTGTGCCCATGGTTTAAGAGGCATCTACAAATAGAGGCCCATTTATGCAGAGGGTGTGAAGGGCTGAATTTTATCAGCCAGGTTAGAGTAGTTTCTAGAGGTTTGGTGTCTCCTCTTATCAGCTTTATAATGAAATTCATATTGAGTGAGTCGCACAAGTCATATATTGAAACTGTGCTGAAGTTTCTTATTTAGATAAGGGGAGGTGTTTGGACATGGGATTTATATTTCAATCTGACTGATGTCACCTTGGCTTAAATAAAGTATTTGACTTGCACTGAAAAAATTGTTCTGTTGGTTTTAACAGAAACTAGAATATTTTTTTAACTCTTGTTTAAAGCTGAGGGCTTCACACACCTTTTGTTGTGCCAAATGCGGGTTTTATTTCCTATGCTTGGTTAATAAATATTTTTTTATCTGAATTAAAAAAAAAAAATATTTTTTTATCTGAATTAAAAAAAATATTTTTTATCTGAATAGAAAAAAAAATTTAATATTTGGTAAGTCTGGCTGGGAACAGACTCAAAGGGTCTGATAGAACACAGTGTGAAGGGTCTGGAGAGTATGTCCTACAAGGAGCAGCTGAGGGTACTGGGGGTGTTTAGCCTTGAGAAAAGGAGGCTCAGTTACTGCTGTCTGCAACTACCTGGAAGGAGGTTGTAGCCAGCTGGGGGTCTGCCTCTTCTTCCATGTAACTATCAATAGAATGGGAAATGGCCTCAGACTGTGCCAGGGGAGGATCAGGCACAGGATATTAGGAAAAGATTTCTTCCTGAAAGGGTGGTTAAGCATTGGAATGGGCTGCCCAGGGAGGTGGTGGAATCACATCCCTGGAAGTGTTCAAAAAAATGAGTGGATGTGACACTTCACCATATGGCTCAGTGGGCATGGTAGTATTTGGATGAAGGTTGGACTTGATGATCTTGGAGGTCTTTTCCAACCTGGCTGATTCTGTGATTCAGTGCCATGACGGATACAGGCTCCTTCGGGCATCAGGTGAACACTTTAGCTAAGCCACACTTTGGTGTCTTAGATGCACTTCTGAAGTACCTTGTTACAGCTTCTCTCTTCTCAGTATTTGTATGTGGTATGTACTGAATGCTTGGCAGTCCATGCACACTATGACCAGCTCAAGAGTCATATTTTTTTATGTTTTACTGCTAAATGTCTCTTGAGACAAGTTTCATAAGTTTTTTTTGTTGCTTTGTCAAGAGATAAAATGAGTTACTTTTTGTTTCCTGTACTTGGACCTGGTTTATTAGTGGTAATGAAAAAAATGTATGTATATGTAGAAGCCACTGTAGCTTTGAATTCCAAAATCCTGTGATCCTACATGTCTTAACTACTATTTCTTTCACATCTGTGCTGTTAAAATTATTAGTTTTCAAGTACTATAGCAAAAAAAAAAGTAGCTATCTAGGCAGTGAGATAGTGGTGGTTTAACCCCAGCTAGTAACTACGTGGCACAC